TATGGTATGCAGTTAGACCTGATTTAGGGATAAGAACCACCTTGGGGAATGTCTTCAGTCTTCTGCTATCATCCACTTGAGAGTACGTCTTATCATAGACTAATGACTTGTAAATATCTTAGTTTGTGTGGCCTGGTGGAAAAGTAATTATCAAAATCAGTGAGCGAGTCTTAAATGAGCTATTAAAACAAAGTAGTAGTGAAGGGTTATGGAAAGAATATGTGTAATGAATGGGTTTTTTTGAGCACCGTGTTAATGGTTACTAGTAGAGTTAAACTAAATGTAAATGTTCCAGTCTTCGTAATCAATTGTTCTAAGTAGATGCTCTGATTCTTTGTAAAATGACCACTATGGCTTTTGTAGTCAATTATTGTATAATTTAGCATCACTTTGATTCTCTGTTCTATTGTATTTCAAATATCAAGTAAATCTTTGAAATCAAAGAAATTGTTACATGGCTATGGAAATCAGAATTAGGGAGGAGTTACATAACACAAGGTCAATGGTTTGAAATGGATGGGAAACAGACTTTGTTATGGTAAGGAAGAATCATTAACTCTGTAAGGGTCAATTATGAGTGGACATTTACAAAATTTATGAGAAGTAAAGAATGTGTAACATGAACAGTGGATGTAATTTAGGGTATAAAAATAAAGTCTGGTGCTCTCTCATCAGAGCCATGCCATCAGCCTTTCTGTGAGGGTGTCTCTCATTCCTCCCTACGCTGACTCCTCCCACACCTTTGGGAACCCCTGGACCTGCAGGAGCTGGACTCTGGCATGTCCCAAAATGTTCTTTACCCCTCCAAAGTTTTATCATTAAATCTATCTAATCTACCATAAACACTTCATAAAATCATGCAAATTATATTTATTAAGCTGAAATATCTTGAACACTTAGTGGTAAATCAAACACTGACACACACTGCTTAATTCCTATGGTATACATTCTTCTAACATGGCTGATTTGGTACTATCAATGTGATGTCACTGAACATGCAACTGGGAAATGGGGCAGAGAAGAAGTAGTACACCAGTATGCAGTGTTTTCACTTTCCAGATACCACAGATGTTGCTATTTTTAAGAGTAAATACAGTAACATGTAAAAAATAAGAGTTAAGAAGCATGGGTTATTACTTTTATTTTCAAAATAATTTATTTAACTAATTTTAGATATTCTAACAGTTAATAATGTCTATGTTGAACAACTAGCTTGTAAAATTTTGGAAATTTTAAAAACTGGATTTTGTGAACAGGTGCAAGCCACTTCTGATATACCACAGGGGTGAAATCATAAGTGAATTCATCCATACTAGGAGTTTTGGATTTATAGATTTGGATTATAGATTTATTGTATTTAATAGTCATAAGACAATTGGTATTTTCCATTTCTTCTTGTGTCAGTTTTGAAACTTAGATTTTTCTAAGAATTTGTACTTTCTAATTTTAATATTTATTGGAATAAAGTAGCTCATTAAATCCTCCAGTGAATTTATTAACCATAATTATATTTCCCATTTAATTCCTGCTATGCTATTTTTTAGTATTCTGCTACTTGATCCAACACACTAAGAGTTTATTACTTTTATGTTTTCTCAAACAAATCTTAGATTTATTGATCATTTTATGTTTATTCCTTTCATTAACTCTTGTCTTTTGCTTTCTGTAGGTTCAATTAATTGTTGTTTTTCTAAATTCTTTAACAAGAAACTCAAAGAGGAAAAAAGTGTTTCGGTATTAAAGGTCAATTAGGAAAAATGTATATGAGCTCACCATTTTAGTAAGAAATTTATTTTTCAGCAGTGCCACCAAAGAGGCACAATAGGGTATCAACACCAGTTATACACATCGAGAAAAAATAATGCCCATATTTTATACTATCTTTCACTCTACATTAAAATTATTATCTGAGGAGTAACTGATTTCATGTCTTTGGCCAGGGGAATATTAAAAATAAAAGGTTCTTATAGTATCTTATTGTGAGGGAGCAAAGAAGCTTTAAAAATGCCTGGGGAAGAAAGAAAGAAGTCAGCCTTGGGGCTGGTGTTGCAAGTGCAGTGGGTTAAGTCACAGCCTGAAGTGCTGGCATCCCATATGGGCACCAGTTCAAATACTGGCTGCTCCACTTCCAATCCTGCCTCCTGCTAATGCACCTGGGAAATCAGGGGAGAATGGCCTGAGTCTTTGGGCCTTGCACCCACATAGGAGACCTGTAGGAAGCTCCAGGCTCCTGGCTATGGCCTGGCCCAGCTCTGGAAGATCTCTCTCTCTCTCTTTCTCCTTCCCTCTGTGACTCTGCCTTTCAAATAAGTATATATATATAAAATTATATATATGTATATTATATATAAGTATATTATTATATATAAATATATATACTTAAAAGTATATATGAGTATATATATTACTTAAAACATATATATATATGTGTGTGTGTGTGTGTGTGTGTGGGGAGCAACTCGGACTAGACTAAGTTACTGGAATTAAGACTTATTCTATGCATCTGCTCTCCCACAATATGGCGCTGAGAAGGGAGAAACAGCTTCTACACAGCTGCCTCCAGTTCAACCAATAAACAGCAGGACCTGCTCCTGATTGGAGGAGGGCAGCGTACTCGGCGTGTGGGTAGCAGAGTTGGGATTGGTGGAAGAGGACTATAAAGGAGGAGAGAGACAACATGCACCAGGAACATCTGAGGGAACACCTGTGCAGCCCCCGAGAGAGCCGGCCGGCGGTGTGCCGCTCCCCTGCGGAAGTGGGGAAAGTGGCCAGGGGGAACCGCCCTTCCACGGGGGTGGAAGGGACGGTAGCCAACCCGGGAAGAACCAGCAGCAAACCCAGGGAGGGCCGAGCAGACAAAAGAACAGCGCAGGGTCCTGTGTCGTTCCTCCACGAAGAGGGGGAGCGACAATATGTTTTAAAAAGAAGCCAGCATAAAGGCATTTCTATTAGGCTTTAGGTACGTTTTTATAACTGAGACTCAAAAAGTGAGCAATAATTAAGGTTAATGGCAACAAATAAAATCTGTAAAGATTTGCTTCTTAATAAAACTCACAAAGGGAAAAGTTAACTCAAAATGAAATATGTTATTAGAATTATGTGGGCTGGCGCTGCAGCTCAATAGGCTAATCCTCTGCCTGCGGCGCTGGCACACCGGGTTCTAGTCCCGGTCGGGGCGCCGGAGTCTGTCCCGGTTGCCCCTCTTCCAGGCCAGCTCTCTGCTGTGGCCAGGGAGTGCAGTGGAGGATGGCCCAAGTCCTTGGGCCCTGCACCCCATGGGAGACCAGGAGGAAGCACCTGGCTCCTGGCTTTGGATCGGTGCAGCATGCTGGCCGCAGCGCAGCAGCCATTGGAGGGTGAACCAACGGCAAAGGAAGACCTTTCTCTCTGTCTCTCTCTCTCACTGTCCACTCTGCCTGTCAAAGAAAAAAAATAACAAAGATTGCGTGAACACTCTTATTAAAGGAAATTTTATGTATTTATATTGTGAATTTGTTTCTCTTGTATTCCCGTCTGCTTCAGAGTAAAATTCCATTAAACGTGCACTATGAAAATTCTCAGTGTAGTAAAAAATAATAATACATCAATAAAATAATACTCTGAGAATTCTAAAATAAATGGCTTATTCTTCAGTAAGAAGATACTGATGGGCTGGCGCTGTGGCGTAGCAGGTAAAGCCTCCACCTGCAGTGCCAGCATCCCATATGGGTGCCGGTTTGAGTCCTGGCAGCTCCACTTCTGATCCAGCTCTCTGCTGTGGCCCGGGAGTGCAGTGGAGGATGGCCCAAGTCCTTGGGCCCCTGCACCCACATGGGAGACCTGGAGGAAGCTCCTGGCTCCTGGCTTCAGATAGGCACAGCTCTGGCTGTTGCAGCCAATTGGGGACGTGAACCAGTGGATGGAAGACCTCTCTCTGCCTCTTCTCTCTCTGTGTAACTCTGGTTTTCAAGTAAAATAAATAAATTAAAAAAAAAAAACCAAAAAGAGAGAAAACAAGACTGTGGCAAAGCAATTAAACTCCAATTCTGTTTTCCACACCTGTTGAATAAGAGCTTCATGCTTATCATTTACAGAGGTGCAATGTTCGCCGAGACTTGAGGATGAACATCTAACCTATGAAAAGTTAAGGGATGCAGTTTTTCAAGCAGTAATTTTTGAATTACTCAAATTATTAATTTAAGGTGAATACCTGTACAAGCATAATAGTCCATAATCATAAATGTTTTAGGGTCAAGGTCATGTCCCAGATGGTGTTCAGACACCTCCAACCAGAGGGTTTGTTAGATCCAAATTAAACACTACCACAGATTTTAAACTACAGAGTTAATTGCACAAGTTTGTAAGTAAGACTGTGTGAAATGTTTCCTAATAATGGCAAATATAAACTCTTTGTAGAGTCCATATGAAATGATGGACTCAAAGACTAACCCACAGGTCAGGCAAAATCTTACTATAGCCTCTATAGTAATAAATGGATGTTAGTAATGTGTAGGTGATTCAAAGAATCTTTAACTTCTTAAAATCATATGTATAGATTCCCCCATATACCTGGAAGCAATTTAAGTGAACAGATTTTTTATCTTTATATGGATAGTTTTATTTTAACCTAAAAGTAGATACCACCACTAAATTCTACTGAAAAATTGCCTACTGTATTTTTCATTTTTTAATTTTAGAAATAATTTCTAAGATAATTATTTTAAAATACTTTAATAAAATCTAGGAATGTAAAACACTCTACAGTGTAATCAGGATTTTCTATTTTTAGTAACAGCTCTCAGTATCTAGCTTTCAGACTATGAAAAGCCCATGTATGAACATTAGCACAGTATTTGAGTAAGTTAGCAATAAGTTAAAAGAAAGGCTACTAGGTGCCTTGTGATTTTTATACTTTCCCATATGAAATGTGGTCTCCTACGGTTGGAAGGGAAAAGGACAGTGACTTTATAATATTCTCTGTGCCTTGCTACTGTCTAGTAATCAATACTTCATTCTTTCAGATTTAGATAAGCATTTGACGCAATACATCCTCATCTAAATTACAAACAAAGAAGTGATAGCAGGGCCTGTGTCGTGGTGCACTGTGGTAAGCTGCTTGCTGTGATGTCCACATCCCACACGGAGTGCCTGGGAGCAAGGCACATCACTTCTGACCCAGCGTCCTGCCAACGCATCTCCTGGGAGGCAGCGGATGATGACTCAAGTACGTGGGTCCCTGCTGCCCGGGGCGGGGGGGGACCTAGGTGGAGCTCTGACCCAGATCTGGCTGTTTTGGCTATCTGAGGGGTGAATAAACAGATGGAAGATTCTCTCTCCCTCTCTGTCCTTCTCTCTGCCTCTCACATAAATCAAAACCTAAACAATGATAACAACTCCTTCTTAGAGGTATATTCTTCCTTAATACTGTTGGACGGTGGTAATTGAGACAATATGGTAAAATATAATTTTTCCTCTTCATTTAAAGATGAAAATATCACACTAAACTTATGACTCAACCATTTGTATTCCGCAGGGCAATATAAGCAGCTCTGCCAAAGACCGTGTTAATTCTTTAAAGTTTTGAGACTTCCTATAAGTCTTGTCCTTAAATATCAAAAGGAACCAAATGTTTTGGTGACTCTGCAAAACTGTCAAACTGTTATAATAATTAAAATGTCTGAAAGTATGGAGAATCTATGTGACAATTTCATTTAAGTTTTAGGGGCACTATTGAAAGACATTTCAACCTTAAATGGCAATCCTGGCACAGCCCTTTGAAGTAAATTGTTTACATTGATTTGTAATCCCATGAACCTTTATAGGAAACTATCCTCTTTGAATTTACTACCTTCCTTAATTCAGCAGAAAATTGCTTTCTGTCTGTTTTACAGTCCCACTTGGAAGACCTGAACGGAAATTAAAGAATCCACCTGTGATCTGGATGAAGAAAGGACTGGGAATCCTTCTGATGACCAGATAGAACTGACTGTTTGTGGAGAGGTGAGCCTCATACCACTGACGAGGGGAGGTGCTGGAGGTGAAAAGGCACCTGGCACGGTGGCTCATACCAGTTAGCATGGAAATGGTTGTTCTCAAAAATCAGCGGCAAAGACTCTGACACCTCCTCCAAACCCGAATCTCCAGTGAATGACATGGAGCATAGATTCTTCCTTTGCTTAGGAGACTCTGAGGTTGCACTTCATCTACTTTCAACATATTATATCAGAGTAGCTACGGTGTGTACAAATGAAAAAGGGATATGAAAAAGATGTTAGGAATATCTGACAAATCAGAAATACAACACTTGAGGAACCAAATATGCTAGTGCAGAAATTTTAAAGAAATTTTAAAAAAATTAAAATCCTTCTTTCAAATCTATCAAAATATATTTTCATAGTTAAGAAAATACATAAATTCTTTGTTTAAAAAATTTGACAGGTAGAGTTATAGACAGAGAGAGAGACAGAGAGAAAGGTCTTCCTTCTGTTGGTTCACTCAAAAATGGCTGCTATGGCTGGCGCTGCGCCGATCTGAAGCCAGGAGCCAGGTGCTTCCTCCTGGTTTCCCATGCAGGCACAGGGGCCCGAGCACCTGGCCCATCCTCCACTGCCCTCTGGGGCCACCGCAGAAAGCTGGACTTGAAAAGGAGCAGCCGGGACTGGAACCCAGTGCCCATATGGGATGATGGCACCGCAGGAGGAGGATTAACCAAGTGAGTCATGGTGCCGGCCCCTATAAATTCTTTTTTAAGAAAAATTTAATCATCTGTTGATTTTAATTTTATTGTAAAGGCAGAGAAACAGAAATAGATGGACCTTCCATCTGCTGGTTCACTCCCAAAAGCCCACAATAGCCTTGGCTGGGTTAGGCCAAAGCCAGGAATATAAAACTCAATCCAGATTTCCTACATGGGTGGCAGGGACCCACATACTTGAACCATCATCTGCAGCCTCCAAGGGTACTCATTATCAGGAAGTTACAACTGGGACCAGAACTGGGACTCAAACGCAGGCACTTGGATATAGGATGCAGGTGTTTCAAGTGGTGTTTTAACTGCTGCACCACTTGGCCCATGAGGCCCTTCTTTTGTCATGACTATATATCCTGGTGTGCTCACAATTCTGGAAAGATCAACTATGTACTGAAAGAAAGGTGGCATTCAGCGAGGTGTAGCAGTAAATAAAATGCTTTAATCTGAGTTCCAGCTCTGCACTGTACTAACCTGGTGACCTTAGCAAATTTTCTACTATCTGTGCCTTCTTTTTCTCATCTCTTAAATGAGGAAACTGATAAAACTTACATCGTTGTGTTGTTGTAAGAATTAAATGAGTTAACATACCTTCAGTACTCAAGACTGATTCTGGGGCTGGCGCCGCGGCTCACTAGGCTAATACTTTGCCTGTGGCGCTGGCATCCGGGTTCCAGTCCCAGTCGGGGTGCCGGATTCTTCCCTGGTTGCTCCTCTTCCAGGCCAGCTCTCTGCTGTGGCCCAGGAAGGCAGTGGAGGATGGCCCAAATGCTTGGGCCCTGAACCTGCATGGGAGACCAGGAGGAGGCACCTGGCTCCTGGCCTCGGCTCGGTGTGGCACGCCGGCTGTAGCAACCAATTTGGGGGGTGAACCAACGGAACGAAGACCTGTCTCTCTCTGTCTCTCACTGTCTAACTCTGCCTGTCAAAAAAAAAAAAAAAAGACTGATTCTGGAAAATAATGAACACTATCTCAGTATTAACAATCATATTTTGCTATATCTTTACAAGCACTGATTTTCTGTAATCAGAGATTGTAAGAACAAATGAAAGATTTGATGTTCTATGGAATTACTCAAGTTTATCCAGTAGCATTTCTGCCAAATGTGAGAGGATATGGAGTGGATGATCTTTATTTTATACTTGATGGAATTTAGCCTCAAAGGAAGTAACTGCCTAGCTTGGGGTGGCATCAGTCATTGATTGAGTCACTTTCAGTGGTTTTCTATTTCTTTCCATCATGAGCACATACCACATACGGATTTGTCTGCCACGGATCATTTCCACCTTCTCTGGAAAGTCCACACAATTTCCTTTGAAAATTGCCCCTCCCGAATAAGGATGCCAATCAAGTCCACCAAACCTCACCAGAGTAAGGGACATGGGCCTGCTGAGGCAAATACATTACTTGAAGATCACCACAGAGGGCTACTGATTTGTTATGTAAGAGTTCACGTCCAAGGGTGCTTCAAAAATTTCATAGAAAATGGAAACTAAAAACCATTTATTTTTGCACAAGAATTTATGAAATATATGCATATATTTTCATACTACGCATTTTTATGACCTTTTGAGGTCAGTAAGCTGCAATCATGAAGCCTGAGGCTGTCTGCAAGTATGCCTTCCTTACCTCTGCCTTCCATGGGGGGAAGCTCAGCAGCACTGGAGGAAATGAGGCTGACGCATAGAAGTGGAGTCCAGGGATGGAGGCAGAGTTCTAATGACATCAGATCTCAGGATTCCTGAGGCTTCTCTGTCTCTGGGGTTCTTAGGTATGTCAAACTCATACACTGCTTGTGTTCTGCTCAACCCACTTTCACTTGCCTATTGTGATGGTCAGACGGCCAACCCATACAAAAATATCACAGATGAAATATTCCAAAAACATAAATCTCGTTTAATGGACTAGGGGGTGAAGGAAACCATGGATCTGACATTTTGCTAAGCATCTAGTAGATGTATCATTTATTGTGTCTTGTTTTGGACCACATGTCAACCATGGTGACAGCCTCACAGGCTTGGTAGAGAAACTTCAGATTGTTAATACTTATTTTAACTGCAGTAATATCCCAATGGAAAGACAAGACTGCTCAGTCCAAGCCGAACTACAGGGGAGTAGGTAGATAAAAATGTACCGCTTAAAGAGTTTCCTGGACTTTTACCAGTGAGCCAAGGACTAGATAATCATGAACTTTGCAGGACTGCACATGTTGACATTTTTGTTCTTGATGAAAACGAGTAAGCCTAAAATGGAAAACATGGCGAGAGGGAAGCTTGGCAGACGCTAGGATTGGGGCAAAGGGGTGGGGGCTGGGAACTCTTGATCCTCCAAGCCTCTTTCAAACACCAGGTGTATGCAATCCCTTGTGCAATACAAGTAGAATTTCTTACATTATAATGTCCTTTTCACTAGAATGAAACCTGGAAGCAAAGGGCAGGCAAGTTCTCCTTCAATATCATTGATTATAACTTTCTATTGCTATTAGGCAAAAGCCAACATAGCTATTCGAGTTAAAAATAACAAAACAAGGGCTAGCTTTTAAGGGACAGAAAATACTCAGATGTTGCCTCCATTGAAATTTCTGACAAGTAAATATTCTAGTTAATGGAATCCATTAAAAGGGAGCCAATTAGAGTGTTACAAGAGTTGAATTGCAGAAATGCAAGTAAGCATCCAGGAGCCTTTGACTGCTCAACATGTTAATTTTCAGGTCATGAATCTGCAAAAATAGTAACTGAACAAAAAACAGTATACTGGTAAGTGGAAGTCTTCCTGTGTACCTCTGAGTGTTGGACTGGAAACAAAAAGAAGAGAGATCTCACAGCGAGCAGAGTCCCAGGAAACCAGGAATGAAGAAAAATAAAAACTTACACAAAATCAAGCGTGGCAAAACTAAACTTCTTCTGCCCTTACGTATGTGATAAACTATAGACCAGTAACTACTATGGCCAGTAGTACCTTTTCTTCTGTTTCTAAAAGGAAGGTGTTCAGTCTTTCCTCTCATTACGTTTTTTTTGGGAAGTTCATTGTCTTATACTGTAGGATCCTGAGAAACATATCTGAATCTGATCAATTAAGAACTGAATCTGCAAGTGGATGAAGGAACAGAATATTAGTGGATAGCAATTGGATGTCACAGGAAAAAGAGATTATCTTTTGATGTAGGAATAATTGTGATTCATTATTATATTGGAGAGCTAGCCAGGATATTTTTGAAATTATAGGTATGGTGTAAGGTTCAAACACTAAATACAGGAGAAAATGGAAAATCCCTATTCTTAGACAATTAAACATTTCTGACACAAAGAGGAAACACACAGAAAGAACACAGAGTCGAAATTAAATAGTCAAGTCTTTCTTGCATTACACCATAAACCAGTGGAATTCAAATTTAAAGTCCAACAAGGACATAATAAAACATAATAAACTATTTATTTTTTTTAAAGGGAAATGGTTTATTGGGGGGAAATCCGACAGACCAGAGGGAAGGGGCGAAGATGGAAGAGAGAGAGAGAAGGAGAGCATAAGAGAGAGATCGAGAGAGAGAGAGGGAGAGAGATCAGGAGATGGAGAGAAAAAGAGCCACATGCTCAGGAACAGCCCCCCCCCCCCCTTTTTTTTTGACAGGCAGAGTGGACAGTGAGAGAGAGACAGAGAGAAAGGTCTTCCTTTCCGTTGGTTCACCCCTCAGTGGCTGCTGTGGCCGGCACTGCGCTGATCCAAAGCCAGGAGCCAATGCTTCCTCCTGGTCTCCCATGTGGGTGCAGGGCCCAAGCACTTGGGCCATCCTCCACTGCACTCCCTGGCCACAGCAGAGAGCTGGCCTGGAAGAGGAGCAACTGGGACAGAACCAGTGCCCCAACCTGGACTAGAACCTGGGGTGCCAGTGCCGCAGGCGGAGGATTAGCCTAGTGAGCCACGGCGCCGGCCAGGAACAGGCCCTTTAAAAATTTTGCCAGAGGGTTGGCAGGGAAGCAGGAGCAGTGAATCCCATTAGGATGGGGGTGGAGCTGACACCGGTGGTTGGGCCATGTGGCCACCTGGCTTCCAGCAATGGCGGCAGGGGCTAGAGCCTAGGATGGTATTGGGGTGTAGATCACACCATAGATAAGATTGCACCATTTTACTAACATTCCCCTCTTTTTAACAAGCTGTTTCTAAAGGGTTTACTCAAGAAAAAATATGCAGGAGTTGCCAAAACAAAATTTTCTTTAATTAAAAATGTTAAGGGGCAGACATTTAGTACATCTGCTTAGGAAGCCCACATACTTCCCATATGGAAATATGTGTGTTCAAATCCTGGCTCCACTTCCTAGTAATGTGCACCCTGTGCACTAGAAGTAATGATAGAAATACCTGGGTCTCTGCCACTCATGTGGAAGACCCGGATTCAATTCCAGGCTCCTGGCTTCAGTGTGGTCCAGCTCTGCCTATTACAGCCATTTGGGGAATGAACAAGCAGATGGAAGACCTCTCTGCGTGCCTCTGTTTCTCTCTCTTTTTTTTTCTTTCAAATAAGTAAAACTAATTTTAAAAATATAATAGGTTTATTGAAATAAAATTGATAGGCATATTTAAGTATATGTTTTAGTAAGTTTTGAAATCATCAGAATCAAGATGGTGAAGATATTCATTACACCAGAAAGTTTCTAAATGTATTTTGCAACCTCTCCTTCCCACTACTAGATACAGATTTCTGTATTAATGCTTTTAAATTTCATCTCTTCAAAGATGTCTATCTTCAGGTTCACATTGTTTCTGATGAGAAATCTGATGGCATTCTTACTGTTACTACTTCATACTTTGTGATATGCCTGTTTGCCTCTGGCTGCTTTTAAGATTCTGTCTTCATCACTGGCTTTGAATAGTTAGATCATATATGGTCTGGTCAATCTTTTAAATTTTACGTTTTTTGTCCATTCAGTTTGTTGAACTCCACACTGTGCGCTATTGTGTTTAACAAATTTGTAGAGTTCAGTCATGCTTTCTTCAAATGCTGTTGTTTCTGTACCCTACCTTTCTTCTTTTCTTCTTTTTTTAAAATTTTGTTTATTTAACTTTTATTTAATAAATATAAATTTCCAAAGTATAACTTCTGGATTATAGCAGCTTTTCCCCCCCATAACTTCCATCCTACCCGCAACCATCCCCATCTCCCACTCCCATCCCATTCTTCATCAAGTTTCATTTTCTATGATCTTTATATACAGAAGATCAATTTAGTAATACTAAGTAAAGATTTCATCAGATTGCACCCACACAGAAACAAAGTGTAAAGTACTGTTTGAGTACTAGTTATACCGTTAATTCACATAGTACAACACATTAAGGACAGAGATCCTACATGGGGAGTAAGTGCACAGTGACTTCTGTTTTTGATTTAACAATTGACACTCTTATTTATGACATCAGTAATCACCCGAGGCTCTTGTCATGAGCTTCCAAGGCTATGGAAGCCTCTTGAGTTCACCAACTCTGATCTTATTCAGACAAGGTCATAGTCAAAGTGGAAGTTCTCTCCTCTCTTCAGAGAAAGGTATCTCCTTCTTTGATGGCCCATTCTTTCCACTGGGATCTCATTCACAACGATCTTTCATTTAGGGATTTTTTTTTTCCACAGTGTCTTGGCTTTCCATGCCTGAGAAACTCTCATGAGCTTTTTAG